CTTAAGAATTTAAGCAAAACTCAACATTTAGAAAAAAATACAAAATAAAAATTTTGAGTAGGGAAGGATTTCGAGAGCCACAAAAAGCACAGATCATGAGAAAAGATCAATTTAATATTTAATTTAGATTTAATATTAAGATTTTAAAGTTCTGAATAATAAAAGGTACCATAGACAAAATGAAAAGACAATCCACAGACTACGGGAGGATATTTGCCCCCTATGTAACTAAAAAGGATTAGCAATCAGAGTATTCCATTGATAATCAAAAGACAACCAAACGGTAAACTGGAAAGATAATATAAAGAAGTAATTTACAGATGTAGAAACCTGAATAGCTAATAAGTTTATAAAACATGCTAGACATCACAAATTGGTAAAAATAAAAAAGCCTAACAATAAATGATATTGGCTAAAGTGTGGGAAAATGAGGATTTCCATACACTTGTCGGTTGAAGTAAAAATTGAATCAACAACTTTGCGGAACAATTTTGTATTAACTTGTTCCTAAATGTGCCCCTTGAGAATCACACACATGCACAAGGAAATATATAAGACAACTCACTGTACCATTGTTTGTAAATGATGGATTTGTAAGCGAGTTGGGAAACAACCCTAATGTTTGTAAGCAGGAGACTGGGTAGTAAATTGTGGTCAATTTAATAAGATAGAATTCTACAAAGCAATGAAAATGGATGAACTAGAGCAGGGATCAGCAAATCTGACTTACCACCTATTTTTGTAAATAATTTTTATTGGAACACAAGCCACACTCATTCATTTGCGTATTTTCTGTGACTGCTTTTACACTCTAACAGTAGAGATGAATAGTTGTGACAGAGACCACATGATCCACAATGCCTAAAATATTTGCTCACTGGTCCTTAAGAGAAAAACTTACCAATCCGTGAACTAGATAGAGCTATGTGTATTAAGGTTGGTAAATGTCAAACATAGTGCTATGTGAAAACAGCGAATTGCAGAGTAATGCATACAGTTTAGAGTTTGAAAGCATGCAAAATATATCTGTATATTACTTATAGATGCCTACGTGTGTATTAATAGTATAAAATATGCATAAGACTCATAATCACCAAATACATAGAGTGGGTACCACAGTAGAGGGAGGGAGAAGATTAGAAGTAGAGATGTTGGGAGGGAGCTTCAACAATTTTTCTAATATTCTGTTTCTTTAACAAATGTGGAACTAGTAAAAATGTTAGGATTTGATGTGTAACTGGGTAGTGAGTACATGAATGTTGTATTACTTAACTTTAGCTTATTGAACATTTGATATATTGTATAATTTAAAAATTGGATAATTTGATCTTAGCAGATGTTAATGATGACAGTTAGTGAGGTTTTAATTAAGGAGAATACCCTTGAATATTTTGTTTTCTAGCACAGATTTGTAATGCATTTTATGTTATATTGATAGAAATGGAAGATTTCATACTTCACTTTAATTTTACCAGGAATATTGTTTACATGTAAAATTGATTGACAGGCATGTAAAGATGACTAAAAAGAATAGCTAGAGCCTTTTTTAGGTTTAGAATAATATCAAGAAGGCTGAGGCCTGAGCTAAGATGTATAATAAAGAGCTAAGAACAATAAAAAATAAGAGCCCTTTGTTTAAGAAACAAAGACATTTACAAAGAAATGTTTGACCCATGACATGATGTAGATGGTGTAGTTTCAAAAATAGCTAAAGAAGAGTGGAACTAGAGAGTATATATTATGGAAGAAAGAGTATAATTATGTCAGTTTGATTCTCAGCTTCGTCACTAACTAGCTGTATAACCTTGCGTAGGTAGTTCTAACCAGTGGTCATGTCTCCACTCCAGACTTATTGAACTACTTAGGTTCTTCGAATGGGCCAGTCTCTTACTTAGCTCATCGTCTTTGCTTCTTTTCCCTTCCTGTTTCTTTTTTCTCATTTACTCTCCAACTTTAGGTTTGCTCCTGTTGTTTATAGTTTAGATGCTGCTTTCTCTAGGAAGCCCTCCTAAAGTTGGTTAGGCAGATGGGTGGATGGGGGAGCCTCTCACTGAATTCACCAACACTGGAGAAGGTCAGATTTTGTGGGGAAAATTGATGTGTTTTATTTTATTTTGTGAAATCTGATCAAGCGTCAGTTGAACATTTGAGATGTGTACTACCTTATTGAGTATACAAATATGGAGATTAGGAATGAGGTCTAGTTTGAGAGTATAGATATGGGAGTTATCAGCTTATAAGTGATAATTATAGCTGTAAAGTATGTGAAATCAGCCAGGGAGGAAATTGCAAATTGGGAAGAAAAGAAAGAATTAAACCAAATCCTGAAGAAAAGCAACATTTAAGGAAAGAAGGAAGAGGGCGGCAGGGAGAGGGAAAGATTGAAGAGTAGCCAGTGAAATTAGAGAAAAACTGGAAGAGCATGACTCATGGAAGCCAAGCATATCAAGTAGGACGGTGACTATAAAAAGAGTGTTCATTGGTTTAACAACAAGTAAGTCATTGGTAATCTTGGCAAAAACACTTTCTTTTTTTTTTTTTTAAAAAAAAGATGACCGGTAAGGGGATCTCAACCCCTTGACTTGGTGTTGTCAGCACCACGCTCAACCAGTGAGCCAACCGGCCATCCCTATATGGGATCCGAACCCGTGGCCTTGGTGTTACCAGCACTGCACTCTACCGAGTGAGCCACAGGCCGGCCCCGGCAAAAACACTTTCAATGGGCTGCTGAACGAGAAAGCCACATTATAGCAGGTTGAGAGACGAATTGGAAATAGTGAATGTAGCCAGTTCTTTCAGGAGGCTTTGCCGTTAAAGGGAGGGTAAGGTGAGGAGGTGAGATTTCTTTGAGAGAGGTAATTTAGTGCTAATGGAAAGAAGGGGTTGAAGATACAGGAACCAGGGCTGTTAACTGATGGGACTCAGCTCTTAGGGAGACTGGGATTTCCAGATGGAAGGATCACCCTTAACCATGAGGATGTTGTGACAGAAGGAAATGAGGAGAACAAAGATATGGGTGCAACTGATTTGTAGTTTTAAGGACCAAGAAGTTAAATGACTTCCTATTGAATTTTTCTCCTCGTTGAAGGCAGAGGGAGTTATTTACCAAAAGTGAGGAGGAATGGTAAGGTCTAAAATAGTTGCTGTAGAGAAGAGGAGAGCAAATAGCCTAGAAGAATAAAGAAGGGTTGCTGATTAGAGATAGCAAAGATTTTTAAGTTGGAGGCAAACAATATAGCAGTGGTACCATCTGCATAGCTGTGTGAGAATTGTACGTTCTCTCAGGCACCTCCACTTTCAGACTGAATTGGAAGACTTACGTTGATAAAGAGAAGGTAACAAACAGTTGGTTTATCCCAGGTTGCCATGTGTCAGTAGATGTGACAGTAGATATGAGGGAAATTGGCAAGAAAATGGTTGATGAGGTAAACCATGAAGTCTAGACTAGGAGTTAAACTATAACCCACAGGCCAAATCTGGCCCACTGCTTTTTTTATTTATTTATTTATTTATTTTTAACATTTTAAATGTTTACATAAGTACCTACATAATATCCATAATATGCCTCTTGACCCACAAAGCCTAAAATATTTATTATTTGGCCCCTTAGGAAAAGGTTTGCTAATCCCTTTTCAAGGCTAAAATAGGGTTATAGTAAAAACAGGACTAACAGGCAAAGAATAGAGTCCAGGAGACTCAAGGTCTTAGTAAGACCCACATATTAGGTATATTGGGAGAGTGAGTGAGAGACCTGGGAAGGACAGGAGGTTGTAGTGAGAGAGGATTGGGAGTTAAAAGATTTCAGAGCCAGGGCAGCTCTGAGTGATCACCAGGACTAGCTTGTGGCCATGACAGCAGGTAGCCAAAGTAGAGGGAATGTGACTATGGAGTTGAGGTCAAGGAACTGAGAACCTGGGTGGAGACAGTAAAGATACCAGGAGTTGGAGGAAAGGAAGACTGGCGGCATGCCATTCACATTTGCTAGTTTGGGATGGGAAAATTAATGTCATAAATAATAGAATTAAGTATTCAGTCTCTAAAGGTGAGGGGAACTTGACTGGAAAGCCAATCGTATTTTTTTTTAAATGACATGGGGCTTGCTTAAAAAGAGCCAGCAGCCTGCAAGGCTGGTAGTGACTGAATTGGCTAGTGTATTCTAGGCTGCATTAGTAGGTGGGAATATACCATGGGAGGCAGAGCCAGCAGTACTGGAGACACTGAACTGGCAACCAGTCGCTGCGGCTTTTAGCTCTTACTGCTTATTCCTTTAGAAGAGGGCAGCTTCCCATCATTGCTCTAGGTTTTGAAGGCAGAACCAGCACGAGTTTGTGGATATGACTTCAGCTTTCCTTCAGTGCTCCATGGACATCATCAGAACGACTTTCCTCTGTCACTGGAGGTCATTCTCACAGTAGAACCAGCTAGACGGCAAGGTTGCCGAAGAAAAGCTTCCTCATAAATGAACTTCAGAATCCAGAATGTGTACAAGCATGATGCAATTTTCTCTAAAATCTACCCAAAAAAGCCTATTTAATTCACAGATGATTCTTCACCTCTGATTCCGTCTTGTTAATTGAGTGCCACCTCTGTTACAGGCACTTTGTAGGGCTACAAAAATGAGTGCTGCCACTTGATACCATGCTGTTTATCTGTGTGGATCTCTCCTTTAGCCATTATTTCTTTTTATGTGGGAAAGTAGCAGCCATACTGTTACTTTTGTATTTCTGCCTTATTTTATTCTGGTGTCAGGACCACAAATAGAACACTTTTATCCACCAACACGAGTATCTCATGGCATAAAATAGTTAAGAAATTAAATGAAACCTTTGCTGCTCTGTCCTTGGGCTTGTGCAGTAATGCTTCACGTGCAGTGAGCTCTCAACAAATTTTTTTTTAATTGAATTGGAATCTTCCATTTCTATAGTAGCATAACGTGTACCATTGGAAAAATTTGATTGTAATGTGTTGTTTTTGTGTGTGTGTGCTTGTTTTTTGAGTAGTTGATGGATTTACAACTGAGTGACAGTAACTTTCGTCGACACATCCTGTTGCAATATCTCATTTTATTCCAATATCTCAAGGGGCAGGTCAAATTCAAAAGGTAAGTTAATATGGGTAGTAAGTGATTTATAAAGAGCAGCAAAGAAAAGGACTTGCTTATTGTTGTATTTGTTTTATGTACTGGGCCCATTTTATGTATAAGGGTTATATCCCTAAAACACTTCTATTGCTGTAGACGTATAGCTAATTGGGGGCTTTTAGATGTAAGGATATTTGTTTTAAGGAAAAGTGCTACATATATCTACTATCAATGTGAGTCTTCCCTGTTGAGCTCCAGGGCTTCCCAAGAGTTCTCGTTTTTATTACTGGGTGATTAGCCTCCTCTCCAGATTTCCATCATTCCCTTCTCATCTCACTCAGCCCTCCTCCAAAGCTAACTTGCAAACTAAGCCAGTAATACTTTTCTCACAAGGTATAGAGCTGTCTAGGACATTAAAACTGAATTTCAAAGCAAAGAAAATCTTGAAGTAAAAAAGGAATTCCAGTTTCTTTGGGGTTACACAAAACCTCATCAGAATCTCTACTTTCTATCTAATCCCTCCCCTAGGCTGGCTACCTCATCTTGTCCTGTCCATAACTGAAGTGGAGCTCACTGTTACTTGACAATACTTACTTTACATACACAAACCAGCATGGTATTAGTTGTATAAAGGACCTAACTTTACTGCCTGCTGGTTTTTAATCCCAGTGTCATCACTTGCTGGCTTCAGTGAAGCTCTTTCAGACTTGCAATTTTAAGGGAGCACGTGGTAAACACTCAAAAATGTTATTTCTTGTCCTTCTATTTTGGATCGTAGTAGAAAGATCAAGGACTTTGGAGTCAGACCTAGGTTTGAATTCAAGCTTCGTGGCCTTGGGCTCATCATTGAGTCACTGTAGTCTCTGTTTAATATGTGCGTGCAGTTATTCTGAGAGCTCAGTGAGTAACGCATGTAAAGTGCTCAGATCCTAGCACATGCCGGCCTGTCGGTAGTTACTCGACCCCTGTAAAGTGCCTAGTGCAGTCAGTTAATGGCAGCTCATAATAATTTGGGTTTCCCTGCAGCCTTTTCTGGGGTTGCAGGTTTGGGGAGGTTTCATTGTATTTTGAATGAGTTTTAAAGGAATATAGCAAGCCTATCTGAAGGTGCATCATGTATAGAAATATATTAATATTGTCTCAGAGGTTTTCATCTCATATTAAACTTATTTTAGGAAACATTCATTGCTCTGTTCATAGTTATTCAGATTGATTAACTGAATGTTTTATTCTCCGTATGTACCTTCCTGTCTTCAGTTCTAACCCTCTTATCTAGAGGATGAGTGCAAGAGTTTTCCCTTATGACCCTCTCATTTGTGACTGTTCTTATCTTGGTAACTTTTGATACTATTTACAGTATGGTTAACATAGATTACATGCTTTTCATTTTTTCAAGACCAAAAATAAACCTTAAAATTGAATATATGTTGCTGTAACTCAAGCATGCTTTTATTGCTTTGTTCCCTAGTTCAAACTATGTTTTAACTGATGAGCAATCACTGTGGATTGAAGACACTACAAAATCAGTCTATCAAGTAAGTTCAACATGCAACAAACCCATGATTGAAAAAAATGGAAATTTAGAATTTTCTTTGTTTCAGCCCCAAATAGGAAAATAAGGATAAAGTTAAGCTCAGGTACAAGACCATAAACACTTCTTGGTTCTCTGCCTACAAACCACTCCTATGATGCAGAAAGTTGTTGAAAGCTTAGTATATTCTTTCTAATCACAGCTACTATCTGAAAACCCCCCCGATGGAGAAAGATTTTCAAAGATGGTAGAGGTATGTGCTTTATATTTACATAGTCTTCTTAGTAACATAGAATTTCAAAGTATTTCATTATGAAAATGTGATTTGTTTTTCCCAGCATATATTAAACACTGAAGAAAACTGGAACTCGTGGAAAAATGAAGGCTGCCCAAGTTTTGTGAAAGAAAGGTAAATATGTACTTATTACAAGAAATATGAGAAAGGCATTTCAAAACAGTTTGATATTATTTTATATCATGTAGGGATATGTGTACGTGTATTTCACACAAGAAATGTAAGTTGAGCTATGTAAGAGTAGAGCCGCTTTTATTTACTTCTATTTGTATTTTTTAACTCAAATTTCTTGTTAATAAGTTCCCAGAACAAATTGCTCTATATTAATTATTGAAAAAATGCTGTGTATCTACTTGTAATTTGCCCTATTATGTGGCATTTTTGTCTTCTTTCTGCTTGAGTGTTCTATTGTAATATGAAGCTTTCACCTTTTTTAGGAAGAAAACAATAGCTGAATTTTCTTCTACATTTAACACACTGCCATTTCTGCTATCCATTTGTAATTCCAAAAACAGTGTATGTTTTGTTCACCACAGATCATCAGATACCAAGCCTACGAGAGTAGTACGGAAGAGAACAGCACCAGAGGACTTCCTAGGGAAAGGACCCAACAAAAAAATTCTGATGGGAAAGTAGGTTAACTTGTCTTCATATGTGGAATGTTCTTAGTTACTTTTATATTTTGAAGATGTTACGATAAGAACTCTCCAGATTTTTGCATCCAAATAGAATATGAATTTGTTTGGTCACACACAGATGACTAAAGCAAGCCACACATCCTGTTGATCTGTAGTGCTCATTATGTGGGTTCCTGTAACTAAACCTTCATTTTGTCTCCAGCTTCCAATGGCTCTAGGCTATCCCATTTCCGCATGTCACAGACAATGGAATTGTTTAGATTGATGCAGCTCACTTTTAGTTGTTGTAAGGTACCACAGTCCTTGAGTTCTTTTACCTTCCAGTTAACCACTCATTGGTTTCTATTGTGCTTCAATATTTTTAGAAAGAACTAATAATTATATGATTATCATTAAACATATGCTCATACAGAAAATTTGTTAAATACCAGAAACTATGAAGAAAAAAGTAAAACTCATATTATCACCACCCAAAAGCCCCCTGTTTACATTATATTGTTTTTCTATTCACTTTTAAGACATATAAGGATGATGTTCATAAAAATTTTATTTATGTGTCTGTTTTATAGTGAGGAGTTAACAAGGCTTTGGAATCTCTGTCCTGATAATATAGAAGCCTGCAAATCAGAGACAAGGCAAGTTTAAAAATATTCAAATGAAGCGTTGCTTTTCTCAAATGTTAAGTAGGGTAGAATGGAGCCTTTCCCAGCTATGTTCAGAGCTCAAAAGAAATTTAAAAGTTTATTGTGATTGACTTTTGCACAGCAGAATATGGCTTCCCACATAAAACACCTAGAAGCACGTTTAAAATTATTTTAGAAATCACAAGAAAGTAAAGATTCACAAAAGAAAACGGAACTAAAAACCAGATTAGTAAGGCTACAATACAAACTGATGTGGTTGTATCTAGCTGAGTAGCAGTGTGGATGATTCCCAGGTCAGAGAAAAGAAAGGATGATAAGGCCTTAGGCCTGCACGAATTTGTGGCTAATTTCCCCTGAATGAAGCTGAAACTATTGAAGCATTTCACTATCTGTAAAAGAAAGGTATGTGGGGAGAGGGGGTCATGCTCACTGGCACAGGAAACATTGAAGCTTGTCTGTTTCTACCTGGGTGTGGGTGAAAGCGAAAAGTGTTCCCTAAGAAATTATAATGACAGGTCTGCTCCCATACAGTTTTAAACTTATACTGTCAGCAGTGTAAATGAGCCCCCACGCTATGACAGTGAACTAGAAAGTCCCAGTCTGAAGGTCACAACTTTAACACAGATAAAATCTGAAGATAAATTCACCATCCAAACTTAGAAACAAAGAAACAATCCACCATGAGTAAGAATTGACAAATAGAACAAGCAAAAAAATTTGAATAATAAAACCATCAGATGAAAGCTGTAAAATAAGTATATTTCAGATCATTAAAGACAAGAAGGAACTGAAAACAAAAGAAAGAAACATGAGGGCCGGCCCGCTGGCGCACTGCTACAGTGCGCCGCTTGGGAGTGCGGTGGCGCTCCCGCCGAGGGTTCGGATCCCACATACTGACCGGGTCCTGCTCACTGGCTGAGTGAGGTGCGGGAGCAACACCGAGGGTTGCGATCCGTTGCCAGACACGAAAAAAAAAAAAAAAAGAAACATGACACTATCAGAAAGGCTCAGGCAAATTTGAAAAAACAATATATTTTTTCTTTTAATTTGTATACTCAACATTACACGATGTAATCATTTAATATTTCTAAAAATGAGAAAATATTGTCATTGAAATTACACAATAGATTAAATAGCAGACTAGACATACATAAAGTAAGAGTTAATGAGTTAATTAATGATTACGAAATCACCCAGAAAGCAGTAAAGAGTTAGAAAATAATAGTTAAGAACAATAGAATGTACAACAAACTTCTAATGGCATAAGGAAATAATAGAGAATGGGAAAGAGGCAATAACTGAGATAATGACTAAGAATAGGCATGAATTCTTAGCTTCAAAAAAGTATAGGCCTTAAGTGAGAGTATAGGCCTAAACTGAAAAATCCATCTCTCCATACATAATAATGTCACTAGAGAGAAAAAGCAGATAACCTGCAAAAGAGCAAAATTAAACTAACAGCCGACTTCAAGAACAACAAAAGAAATGAGAAGACAATGAGATATGACCTTCAAAGTGTTTTAAGAAAGTATCAACCCAGAATTCTGTAAACAAGTTAAAACTCAGTCGAGTGATTGAGAAAGTTATTTTCAAACTAAAATTGTAAGAATCTGTTATACTAAAAAAGCTGTCATAAAATTATAGAAGGAAATTTAACCCAGAAAGGAGGAGTAAATCATTAGAAGAATTACTGTGCAAAGACATTGGTAAACGTGAAGAAATCTGAATAAATCTTGTCAAGTATTCACTGTATAAAACAGTAATAATTACTTATTGGGGATTATGTTAAAAAGTGAAACTAATGCATTTTCTAAAAGTGATTAGAATTTTAAAATGTTACAGATGAAGCTAGGGATAATGATTAACTAGACTTTCAGTCAAGCATGCTTGTTAAGTCTGTAAAGAAATAGAAAATATAATTTTTAAACAAATTGAAGGGTAAAAAGATAAGTATAGAATGTTACACTTCCCTCTGTGTAATGGAGACGAAAAAAGGATTACTCAAAGCACCATGAATGCCATGAGAGGTCCAAAGTGACTGCACTTCAGCAACTCCCCTGTTAGGAGGAGAAAGCTGAATGTGACAGTCCTGTTCAAAGTTAGCTTCTCTTTTTTATTGTAAAGATAAAGAAGTTTCACAAGAAAAGTCAGTTGATTCAATCATCAAAGAAAGACATAAAAACAAAGGCAGTGTAAAACTAGTAACAGCAGTAAAATTAACTTGACATTCCACAGTGCAATTTGTAAAAAGCTAAGTAGATCCACCAACAAACAGCTTGCCCCTTAGCAAACATTTTCTTTCCCTACAGCAATTTCCTCAGCATATTTAAACAACAGTCAAGCAGCTTCCTCGACATATCTTACCAACAATCAGTAGGTTAAGCTGCGTCAAGGACATCTGCCCTTAGAGCCAGCAGTTTTGCTGTTACTATTCTTTATCTACAACAGAGACTTTAGCCTGGGGCAAGTTTCCTGTCTTTCGCAAGCTTAACATTTCTATGTGTAATTCTAAAAAGTTAGGTTATACCTGAAACTACAGGGCCTTGGAAGCTAGGCCCTGTGAAATACATTTGCCTTAAAAATGTTTGTATCCTCCACATAGAAAATTCAAGCAATCAAATAGAAGGTAGGAGAAGAGGAAAAAAGCATAGAAGAAACAGGTAGTAGCACAAAACATTATAACACCAAGGTCAAGGGTTCAGATCCCTGAACTGGTCAGCTGCCAAAAAAAAAAGCAAGCACAAAACAGTATAATTAAAATAAACTCAAATATATAAATGTAAATGGATTTTCTGGTTCAAAGACATATATTGGCATTATATTTTAAAAATACATCTATGTGTTATTTACAAGAAACACACCTTAAAAATAAGGATATGGAAAAGTTGAAACTAAAAGAATAAAAAAAGGTATTAGGGGCCGGTCCTGTGGCTCACTTGGGAGAGTGCGGCGCTGGTAGCGCCGAGGCCACGGGTTCAGATCCTATATAGGGATGGCCGGTGCACTCACTGGCTGAGCGTGGGCAGACAACACCTTGCTGAGGGTTGCGATCCCCTTACCGGCCAAAAAAAAAAAAAAGTATTAGGCATAGTTATATATATATATTTTTTTGTCTTTTGTCTTTTTTCCGTGTCCAGCAATGGATCGCAACCCTCAGTGTTGCCCCCGTACCGGACCGGGGACCGGCAACGGGATTGCAAACCTCGGCGTTGCTCCTGCGCCTCGCTCAGCCAGTGAGCGGGAACCGGTCTGTATGTGGGATCCGAACCCTCGGGCGGGAGCGCCGCCGCGCTTCCCAAGCAGCGCACTATCTAGTGCGCCACCGGGCCGGCCCCGGCATAGTTATATTGATACCAGACAGAAGAGTCTTAAAGGCAGAAAGCACTATTAAAAATAAAGATGGTCATCACATAAAGATAAAAAGAAAAAATGTATCAGAAATATGCAGACATTCTAAACTTTATTTCCTAAAAATGTAGTCTCAAAAATTTGACAGTAGAATGAGAAATTGAATGATCCACCATCTAGTAGAATTTTGATATATCTTTCCCAGTAATTGGTCTAGTAGAAAAAGACTTAGTATATTACATGCAGGATTCAATAAGGTAATTAACAGGTTTCGTCTTATAGAAACCATTAATTTATTTAAATTGTACATGAATAACAAAAAATTATAAAAATATGTTAAAAAATTTGAACACTTCTAAATAACCCCTGAATAAAAGAAGAAATAATGGAAATTATAAAACATAGAACTAAATGACAGTGAAATTACTACATTTTCAGACTTTGGGAATCAAGCAGTAGAACACAGAAGGAAATTTATAGACTTAAGTGTTAATTTTTATTTTTTATTCTTTATAAAAATATAAACTGAGTGAAGTCCAGCGCTGAGTCAGTCAGAAGAACAAAGTAAACTCAGAAAGTAGAAAGTAAAATTAGAAATCAATAAAATAGCAAACAAATCATAGGATCAACAAAACCAAAAGTTTTTTTAAGATTGGGAAAAATAGAAAAACTTCTAGCAACATCGTTAAAATTGGATTCCTGTTGAATCTATGAGAATAAGTCAACCCAGTAGAAAAATGGACAAAGGAATAGTCAGTTTCAGAAGTAGAAACCTTAATAAACCTCTGAAACGATGCTCAACTTCACTAGTAACCAGAATTACAGTTAAAAACTGTAGCAGTCCGGGCCAGCCCGGTGGTGCACTGCTACAGTGCGCCGCTTGGGAGCGCGGCGGCGCTCCCACCGAGGGTTCGGATCCCACATACAGACCGG